TAAATATTATCAGGCGAGCCAGATCACCTCGCTATCTATGTTGCATGCTTCCTCAGACATACCTCTCTGGGTCCTGCTGGAATTGCCTAATTGTGCCCCTATTGCGATTTTGACGCTTCTATGGCTTCCCCCTGCCCTGCGCCCCACGGCACTGAGTCTGATTTTTCTCCATGCTTACAAGTGTGGGACTTGGTACGTTACTCCAGTGGCCTAATGTCACCTTTCTTGCCTTTGCTCCCGATTACTAACAACCCCCTCTTTCCACCGGGTTTAGATCAACCAAGGGCATTTTCTTGGTGGGTGGCCAACGGTTTTTCACAAGTACGACACTTTGTGACCTCTCGGTCCTTCCCCACCTGGAATTCTCTTCGGGAGTCATGGGATGTCCCTCCGGTGGAATTTTTTCGTTACCTTCAATTGTGGCATTGGCTGCTCTCATTGCAGGACACTTCTGTTTTCCCGTACCAGAAATCTGCCTTTGAACTGCTTTGCCAACAGCGTCCGGGCGCCCCGGGCCTTATCTCCCTTCTTTATGCAGACTTGAATAGACGCTCGTCGCATACTTCTCTTTCATATGTCGTTCAGTGGGAGCGCGACCTGGGAGTGGTTGTGGATCCGGAGTACTGGAATAGGGCCTGGTCGCTTGTTGCTAAATGCTCTTTTAATACGACCACGCTGGAGGCGGCCAACAAGATGTTGTTTCGTTGGTATTGGGTTCCGGCTCGTTTGGCACAGACGAACCCTGCCTGCAGTGATCAATGCTTTCGGGGTTGTGGCCATCGTGGTGATGTATTGCATATCTGGTGGTCATGCCCGAGGCTGCTTCGTTTTTGGTCTCGTGTGTTTGGCCTCCTTTTCACCTTGTTCCATCTTTCTAGATGGCGGGATGCTCGGTATGCTTTGCTTCATTGTCCCATACCGGGCCTCTTGGCTCACCAGCAGAAGTTGGCTTCCTATTTGTTTTTGTCTGCCTCTAGAACAATTGCTCAGGCCTGGAAGAGCCCGTTTGTCCCTCTTTAGGGGGTGCGGGACCGCATGACCGCTATGATGCTCAATGAACAGATGTCGAGTATCTGCAACGACTCCCAATGTAAATTCTTGAAATTATGGGAGCCGTGGTTGCAACATACCTTTCCCACGCTCCCTTCGGCTAGCCTGGGGATGTGATGTTGTTCGGCTTTGGTCTGAGTTATTATCAGTGTTATATTTATGTTTTGTTATTTAAGTGCCATTGATGGCCCCTGCGTGGGCGTATCTTTTGCCCTGTTGGTGTTAGAGCACTGATTTCTCTCATTTCTAGTTCCTCTATGTGCAATTGATAGCCCCTGCGTGGGCGTGATTTGTTGCTCCTGTGTTAATTGTAAATTAATAAAAAACATTGAAATACAAAACTAAGAGGTAAATAAAGTTGCAAAAATTATCGTACTACAGAATACAACTTTGTAAGGGATGTCATGTATTGTATTGTAATAAGTTATCATATGATCCCTCCAAAAGATATTTTTGTAATCTGATTTTCTGATCGTCTGTACTAGCCATAAGTCACCATGACAAACAAAGTCATCAAGCTAGCCTCTTCAAAAGGGCCTGGAAGAAAAATTTGCTGAATTCAAGTGCGGTTCAGGTATATTTTAGAAAACAGAACTGAGACTCTCGATCCCTGTGCAGTCACAGAGAATGGATGCCTCATGTTTCACTCTAAAGCAGCTATATAGCAAGGAGGGCAAAGAAAGAACAAAATATTTTATAGTCTATAGTCCATCTCAGAGGTGAGCAACACAGGATGGATACATTCCTACATACAGTGGGACAATAGAAAACGAATGTTATCACCCTCTAACAGGCAGTTGGATCACAGCAGCAGAAAAAAAAAGGAACAGTGGAAACTACCTTTTAAGTTAAGAATACATACTTTAGTGTCACTTTAACCATTTCAGTAGCTGGTTATAGGCATTCAGTGTATAGAACAGCATTCTTCTATTTAAATCCTTGGTGACATTCAAAGTCAAAGTCACTGTGCCGCCCTAAACTTAGCTTGGAATCGCTTGTTTTCCACTTTGTTTCATTATCTTGACCCTGAGGTAAAGCAGTTTCCTGTAGTATTGCTTGCAGGAACAAGTCTGTTATTATCCAGCAGTAGAACGAGAAATTCAGCAATACAGAGTCCTCTTATAATAAGTCTATTCAGGCCGTCAGGAAGCAAGGAGCAGTTCTTGTACACAATAGAACTCCAAGGCCTGCAGCAATCACCATTGTGGCTCTCAGGATTAACAGGGACTTTTCAGCAGCTCCAGTTAATGTCATTTCATGAGGTTCTATTCTTGATTCCAGCATTTCCTCAGGTCTGAATAAGCTCTGGTTATATATCCCAGATTCATTGTGTAGGGGTTTTTTTTTTTTGTTCTTTTTTTTTTTTTTCTAACACGGCTGGGTCAGGGCCAGCCTGCCCGGTTTGTTGTATGAAAACGGACAAGGCCTCCTCCAGGAAGTCAAGATTTGACACTAAGACCATTGGCATGTAAAGTGGTTTTTAATCAGATGATTGCCTATATCAAATAACTTAACACTGGATTCTTCTGTTTCTGAGTTTCCTGTTGGCCAAAATATGTATCTATACAATAGCTGAGCAGTGCTAAAGATCCAGAAAATAGGAGTGAAGGTCCACACAAAAGTCATTTTAGTTTATTTCTGTTTACATTTTATTTGGTATTTTACCTTTTGTGAACCAACTATTTTCCTGGTAAAAGCCATTTAGAAGACATGGGCCTTGGTACCTTTTTTATCTATTGATAGAGACTAAATAGTATTACCTTTCTGGGTAAAAAAGTAAAAGTAAATTATATTGATGATGTGATAATAATCATGTATACTCATATACAGCAAGGAACAGAAGTATTTGAACACCCTGCGATTTTGCAAGTTTTCCCACTTAGAAATCATGGAGGGGTCTGCAAATTCACATTGTAGGTGCATTCCCACTCTGAGAGACAGAATTTAAAAACATTCTGGAAATCACATTGTATGATTTTTAAAGAATTTATTTGTCTTGCACTGCTGAACATAAGTATTTGAACACCTGAGAAAATCAGTGTTAATATTTGGTACAGAAGCCTTTGTTTGCAATTACAGAGGTCAAACGTTTCCTGTAATTCTTGACCAGGTTTGCACACACTTCAACAGGGATTTTGGCCCACTCCTCCACACAGATCTCTTCTAGATCTGTCAGGTTTCGGGGCTGTCGCTGAGCAACACGGAGTTTCAGCTCCCTCCAAAGATGTTCTATTGGATTTAGGTCTGGAGACTGGCTAGGCCACTCCAGAACCTTGATATGCTTCTTACGGAGCCACTCCTTGGTTTTCCTGGCTGTGTGCTTCGGGTCGTTGTCATGTTGGAAGACCCAGCCACGACCCATCTTCAGTGCTCTGATTGAGGGAAGGAGATTGTTGCTCAAAATCTCACAATAAATGGCCCCATTTATCCTCTCCTTAATACAGTGCAGTCATCCTGTCCCCTTCGCAGAAAAGCACCCCCAAAGCATGATGTTACCACCCCCATGCTTCACAGTAGGGACGGTGTTCTTAGGATGCAACTCATCCTTTTTCCTCCAAACACGACGAGTGAAGTTTAGACCAAAAAGTTCTACTTTGGTCTCATCTGACCACATGACTTTTTCCTATGCCTCCTCTGGATCATCCAGATGATCATTGGCAAACTTCAGACAGACCTGGACATGTGATGACTTGAGCAGGGAACCTTCTGTGCAGTGCATGATTTGAAACCATGACGGCGTAGTGTTCTACCGACAGTGACCTTTGAAACTGTGGTCCCAGCTCTCTTCATGTCATTGACCAGCTACTCCCTTGTAGTTCTAGGCTGATTCCTCACCTTTCTTATCATCAGTGATACCCCACGAGGTGAGATCTTGCATGGAGCCCCAGTCCGAGGGAGACTGACAGTCGTCTTTAGCCTCTTCCATTTTCTAACAATTGCTCCAACAGTTGATCTATTTTCACCCAGCTGCTTGGCAATTGCCCCGTAGCCCTTTCCAGCCTTGTGAGGTCCACAATTTTGTCTCTCGTGTCTTTTGACAGCTGTTTGGTCTTGCCCATGGTAGTAGTTGGCATCTGGCTGACTGTGGGGTGGATAGGTGTCTTTAAAGAGCTCAGACAGGTGCTACTAAGTTAGATTAATGAGTGAAGTTGAGGTGGACTTTTTAAAGACACAGTAACAGGTCTTTGAGAGACAGAATTCTTGCTGTTTCTTAGGTGTTCAAATACTTATGTTCAGCAGTGCAAGACAAATAAATTCTTTAAAAATCATACAATGTGATTTCCTGAATTATTTTTTAAATTCTGTCTCTCAGAGTGGGAATGCACCTACAATGTGAATTTCAGACCCCTCCATGATTTCTAAGTGGGAGAACTTGAAAAATCGCAGGGTGTTCACATACTTCTGTTCCTCACTGTATATTTGATATTAGAAGCCTGTGGGTTACTACACTGAAGCTACCCAGGTTAGCAGTATATTAAGGAATCACTGCAACAGATGTCATATATAGTGGATTGGCCTTTTAAAAAGGTGTATACGATAAGAGGCTCATTCTTGTATAGAGGAGGATCTATAGGGTGGAAAATGACTTTAAATGCCCTGTGCCCTAAAACTGTATGCCTTTAAATGCCCTGTACCCTAATACCCAATGTCTTTAAATGCCAATGCCAAAATCGTGGTTGGACCTTTAAAGTGTTACTAAACCCAGGACCCTGCATTCACTATATCTGGTCTCCCACAGTGCACACAACATGGAAATGCAACTATTTTTTCTAAATATAAACTGCTAAACACCTTTTCTCATCAGCACTTAGAGCAGTCTTGTGACTTCTATCAGTGTCCAGCAGAGCACTTGTTACAGCTTGTAGGATGAGTTTTCACTCTCCTGTAGCAGGATGCAGGACCTCTGACCTCTGTCTGGAGAGTGCTGATTGGCCCTGTGCTAATCACATGCACTCTCCGAAGGAAAAAAAAAACTCTAGCAATACACACCAAACTGAGCATGTGCAGCTTGTCCATAGCCTCTGTTCTATCAGTAGATATTTGGGAGACACTGGAAGAAGGGGAGGATCAGAGAAGACAGAATCAAACATTATTTGTACACAATGTGGAGGATTAACCCTTTAGGTTCCACAGTGAATATAACAAGCATGCTTTACTGCCTATACAGACAGATTTTATTGTTGTGGGTTTAGTAACACTTTAAGTATAGTTGGGAAGCAATATTTAGCTTCTAAATAGAGTTTATGTAGAATGTCATTAACTGAATAACATACTGTCAGTGTATTAATGGAGATTTCCAACCTGAACAGAAATCCCTCATCCACTTTTGCCATGCTGGTCAATGGATACAATGGAATCAGCTGTTGAAACACCACTCACTTAGCATTGATAAGTTATTGTAAGCTCAATAAATGGGTTCCTGCACTCTAAAGGTGAGTGAATGCATGCCATGGGTATGGATAAAAGTCCAGTTGGGTCCTACCAACCCTACCTCCTGATTTATTCCAATGGGTGACCTCATTTACCAGTTGGGTGGCTGGGGGGAAGGTAGGGTACAGCTCAATGTTTACAGGAAAAAAAATCGAGATTTGCATATAAATGAATCTGCCCATAAATCTGAATCTACAGATAATGCTATGTGATTTTTAATGACACTAACTTTTTTTTAACATACGATATTGGGTTACTCAGTTTTATGAAAGATTTTACTTTAAATACTGCTGGTATTGTGCCCTAGATAGCTTTATCTTTGTTTTTCCTTGTTGGGATTACTGTAACCTATCATAGCTTCATTTATCCAAAGGCCCCCTTCACACCTGAGCGTTTTATAGTTCAAAGCTCCAAAGTGATCAACATCAAAAATAACATGGTGTTCAGTTGTGTCTGTTCACATATGAGCATAGTGTCGCTTGTAGCTTGAAAATGTATAAGAGCTTTTTCTGAGCTACACGCTTCCACTGTTTTTAGCCCCTATAGACACAAAGTGAATGCATGAGAAAATGCACAAAAAATGCCCATATACACCACACGTTTTCCCCCAGTAACCAGCTTTCCAATGGCTACATAAAATTAAAATAGGAAACACTCAAGCAAATACAGCTTCAAAAATGCTCAAAAGCGCCTGTGCAAATGCTAAAGAAAAGCCTTTAAAAAGGACCAAAAATGTTCATCTCAAGAGTGAAAGACCAGCCTTCTGTCCTTTCCTTCCTTTCCTGCATTCCTTCCTTCTTGCTCTCTTCCCTTTCTTTCTTTCTTTCTTTTTTCTTTCTTTCTTTCTTTCTTTCTTTCTTTCTTTCTTTTTCTTTCTCTTTCTTTCTCTTTCTTTCTTTTCTTTTCTCTTTCTTTCTTTCTTTCTTTCTTTCTTTTCTTTCTTTTTTCTCTTTTTTCTTTTTCTTCCCTCCCTATTTCTTTCTTTTTTTTTCTTTTCTTTCTTTCTTTCTTTCCTTTCTTTCTTTTCTTTCTTTTCTTTTTTTCTTTCTTCTCTTCTTTCTCTCTCTTTCTTTTTTTCTTTCTTTCTTTCTCTCTCTCTCTTTCTTTCTTTCTTCTCTTTCTTTCTTCCCCCCCCCCATCTCTCTCTCTCTCTCTTTTTTTCTTCCTTCCTTCCCTCCCTATTTCTATTATTTGTCTTTATAATCATTAGATATTGTATATAAACACTTCAGATTTCCATTTTCAGCCAGTAGAGGGAACATTAGTCTACTTTTCACATGTTTTACAAAACTCTAGTTGTTTTGCTGAAAAAAAAAAAGCCTATTCTTTACTGAGCCTATTTAAACCTATCAAACTGAATGAGTTACAAAGACCTTTTTTTCTCTCTCTGCTTCTCTGTTTTGTTATAGGACTGAATGAAGTTTCCATTAAGGCTCCATTCACACTTGTGTGACTTCAAAATTGTGCGATTTTCATTGCAACTTGATGAGACTTTGGATGAGTGCAACTTTGGTACGACTTTGGCTTTGACCAAGAATACTTGTTTCAGCTGTACAAAATCGCACACAAGTTGCATGTACAACATTCAGATGCGACTTTGGAGGGTTTACATGAAGTCTATGGCCCTCAAGTTGCATAAAAAAAGTCGAACCAAAGTAGTGCAGGAACTACTTTGAAGTCGCTGCGACTTGAAGTCGCACAGATATGAATGATACCCATTGGGAAACATGGGGGGGGGGCGACTTGTCATGCAACTTTGGACCCCAAAGTCCCATGATAAGTCGCATAAGTGTGAATGGAGCATGAAGAACAATAATCTCAAAGCAAATAGCTGCTGCTGTAGTCTCTTCAGAAAAGTTAGTGTTCTGTGAATTTGGTGTCATAAGTGCACCCTGTATTAAATATGCTTCCAATAATGATTTTTATGGCAATAGTAAAAAATAAAAAAAAAAAAGATATAAAACATTGGTTTAAAAATGTGTATACTCAAAAATATTTATGTATACATTTTCCATTCTGTATGATAAAATTACCTTACGTGAAAACAGCCACATAATATTATACTACTTATTAAGAGCCGTTATCATGATCTGTTCAGCCATGATTCATTCTCTAGTTTTTGTGTTATAATATTTTAACAAAAAAGATTGCATCTAAAATAATTATTATTGTACCTTTTGAATGTCTTCATTATTAAAACTTTTGCCTTCAATAGCTCAGCACTAATTTTAATTGTTTAAATTTTGAGTTCATGCAAACAATACTTTAAGAGCAACTAAACTGTATTTGAAGACCACAAACTGAAAATGCAATTTAATTAATTTTTGATATTCAAAGCAAACTCACTCATTCATCCTTGTCTCTGCGCTTTTTTTTTTTTTTTGAGAAATCATGTTGAGAAATCACTTTGAAAAACACCCCTTAGCATTTCTAGCAGAGTGGCTAAATGGTTAGCCCTTCCACCTGGCAGTACTAGGGTTGTTAGCTGAAATCTCAACCATGGCACCACTTGCCTGGAGTTTGCATGTTCTCCCTGTGCCTGCGTGGGTTTCCTCTTACACTCTAAAGACATACTGGTAGGTTAATTGGACCCTGTCTAAACTGGCCCTAGTATGTGTATGTATGAATGTAAGAGACTTTAGATTGTGTACCCCTTGAGGGTTAGGGACTGATGTGAATGTACAATATATATATAAAGCGCTGCGTAAATTGATGGCGCTATATAAGAAATATAAGAAATAAATAACAACAATAGCCGCTGCCATCTTGATTCATGTAGCATTTACTTACTGGAATCCATCTGCCCTTAGATCATGCATACAGGCAGGAGGGCCTTCCTCCAGATGAAAGAAAAATAATGCCCATGGACACTCTTGGGAAGTGATATCATTTTGGCCTAGTCCAGAAATGGGAAGCAACTGAACAAATCTAACAAAAAAAGTTAAAATAAGTAAATATAATATACCATCCTGTTAGCAGCATACAGATTAAAAATAGTCAATGCTGATTAACCCTCCAGAGGATTTACCCCCCTTCCTGACCAGGTCATTTTTTGTGTTATGGCGCTGCATTACTTTAACTGACAATTGCAGTCAGGCAATGCTGCACCCAAATGAAATTTACGTCTTTTTTTCCCCACGAATTGAGGTTTCTTTTGGTGGTATTTGATCGCCTGTGCATTTTTTTTATTTTTTGCGCTATAAAAAAATTTTCGACAATTTTGAGAAAAAAAAAACAATATTTTTGAATATTTATTAGTCCAGTAAAAAAATTTAAAAAATCAAATTTTGTCATAAATTTAGGCTAAAACGCCAGCTGCGAATGGCAGCGCGGGTAGGGGGTGTACGTGATATACGTGATTTTGCACACCCCTGCCACCCTATAGCAGTATTTCTGCTATAGGGCGGCAGGGAAGCGGTTAAGAGAGTTTAGTTTTGTTTTTAACAGCTTCCCGTTCACCCTATAGCAGTACTTCTGCACGGGTGTGCAAAATCACGTATATATATGTGAGTTTACATTTCCAGGTAGGGGGCACCCTACCTGCGCTGCCATTCGTGGCCATGGCTGTGAATCACTGGGTCCTGCCCGGTGATTACTCGATGGCACCCAGTGATTACCAAGCATCTCCGATGGGGGGAGAACTGCTTGCAAACAAAACTGTTCTCTCACCTCTCAGCTCCTGCATGCTGCTTTGCATGGCTGTGCACAGCACAGCCATGCAAAGCAGTGTGCTTACACTGAAGCACACACACACAGCCCCTAGTAAAACAGTATACAGTTAACCCTTTGATTACCCCACATGTTAACTCCTTCCTGCCCAGTGCCATTAGTACAGTCTCAGTGCTTTTTATTAGCACCGATCACTGTACTGGTGTCACTGGGGATGTCCAAGTCAGTTCCCCCCAGTGTCAGAATGCCCACCGCAGTCCTGCTCTAAGCCGCCGATCACCACCATTACTAGTAAAATAAAAAATAACCCCCCCAGTATATATACTGCCATTTGTAGACGCTATAACTTTCATGTAAACCAATTAATTTACACGTATTGGGTGTTTTTTTAGACATGTAGTAGAATACATTTTTGGCCTAAATTTATGACGAAATTTGATTTTTTTCAATTTTTTTACTGGACATGTTTAATAGCAAAAAGTCGAAAATAGTTTTTTTTTTCTAAAAATTGTCGGTCTTTTTTTTGTTATAGCGCAAAAAATAAAAAACGCACAGGTGATCAAATACCAGCAAAAGAAAGCTCAATTTGTGAGAAAAATTTCACCTGGGTGCGGCGTTCCATGACTGTGCAATTGTTAGTTAAAACAATTGGGGCAGCACAGTGGCTAAGTGGTTAGCACTTCCGCCTAGCAGTGCTAAGGTCACCGGTTCGAATCCCAACCATGGCACCACCTGCCTGGAGTTTGCATGTTCTCCCTGTGCCTGTGTGGGTTTCCTCTGGGTACTCCAGTTTCCTCCCACACTCCAAAGCCATGCTGGTAAGTTAATTGGCTCCTGTCTAAACTGGACCTAGTATGTATATATATGATTGTAAGTTAGGGACCTTAGATTGTACCCCCCTTTGAGGGTTAGGGACTGATGTGAATGTACAATATATATGTAAAGTGCTGTGTAAATTGACAGTGCTATATAAGTACCTGAAATAAATAAAATAAATAATGCAGCACCGTAGCACAAAAAAAATGGCCTGATCAGGAAGGGGGGGTAAATCCTCTGGAGGGCAAGTGGTTAAACTTGAGTTTGTTTTTTTTTTGCTCAGTAAAATATTTCTTGGTTTTTTTTTTGGTTTTTTTTTTTAGTGTAAACCCAGCCACTTTTATGCAATCTTTAACATGTTAATGTCATTTCAAAAGTCATTGTTAATATTTTAATCCTACAGCTTTCATAAAATATAGGTGGTAATCCGGCCATGAAGATTCCTATTCAGGCTCTTCCTGTTATCGGATGTCCTGGTCTTCCAACTGCTCTTCTGTGTTGTCAACCTGTCACATGCTGCTGGCGAAGACTATGAGCGGCCATGTTGTGCAGACAAGGTCCACTGTTGTCACTAGAAGTCCTCATGCACACTGGATGTTTTTACAGCGGCTGTTTTTTGCTTTTGTCATTTTTTTATACAGCCAGTAAACCCCTCCAGCATGTTATCCTATGTGTCCATGCACACCTAGACTGTAATCAATGTTTTTCGGCAGGGTCATTTTTTGGCTGGAAAAACCCCCCAAAACTACTGGGTTTGTAGAGGAGTTTTTTTTAGCTGTAAAAATGATCTAATGCTGAAAAACGGGGCAAAACGTGCTAAATTGCGGCAAACCAGCGTTTTTGCACTTTTTTTGACCCACCAAAATTTTTTGGGGGTAAAAAAAAAAAATAAAAAAGCTAAAAATTGTAAAAGCGAAAAAATGTGGCAAAATGCTGCTAAACGCTAATACAAAAACGCTAAAAAAGTCACATTTTTAACAATACGTTAAACAGCTAACGTTACCAGCATTTTAAAAATGCCCAGCGTGCATGGAGCATCAGGCAGCTGAACCTGAGCAATGGCGTATAGCAGCCACTGGACTGAGTAAATGTAGATGGGGAATGGCTGCAAAGATTGAACATACAAAACGCCATTCCAATTAGATTTACCTTAAGCTAGTGTTTAGAAAATCAGTAGAAAAAAAACGGCGACTCTAAAATATTCAGATCATTAGCTAGCTGTACAGCAGTACCTTGCAAAGAAAAGATTAGCATTTTTAGTGGTAAGACCCCCTGACCACTCCTAATGAGTAACACTGAGACTATTTAGGAAAGCCAGCAGTTAGCTGCCGCTAATATTTTCAGTAATTAGCAGCTTACAGATAGCGATCTTCTGCAGCAAAGGAGAGCCAATCAGTGAAGGCGCTTAAGACAGTCAGAGAAGCAATAGTCGTTTTTCACATTCTTATTCACTCGCTCGTTCTTTATGGGAACATGTTTTTAAAAAAGGTTTGATAGACTGGTACCTCTGAACACTAAGTCTGACCAGGGGCGGACTGACAACTCATGGGGCCCCCGGGCAATAGGTGATCATGGGGCCCCTTGCCCAAACTCAAAAAAGCCTATGAAAAAGGTACCAGGGGCATCTCATGGGGCCCCCTACTGACCCCGGGCCCTCGGGCAGTGCCCGAGTTTCCAAATGGTCAGTCCACCCCTGAGCCTGACTTCACACTTCTGCGGTGTGGAACATCGCATTCGATTCACACAGGAACCACACTGCATTCCTCTGCAAATCACATGCAAATTCTGTGTGGTACAATTTGAGCCATACATTCTGTATGGCTCACATCGCTCCGCATCTACACCAAAAAGGTGGAGGGCCCTTTTTTTTTTGTCCGCACTAAAATCGAATTGCATGGGTATTCACACCCAAGTGATCCGATTCTGCACATCGCACCGTGTTTTGTGAACAAATTTCGGGGTGTTGTTATTATACACACCCTCAGCGGTTCACATGAACAGGGTGCAATTTTGTTGCAGTGCAGAATTCGCACAGATACCGGTGTGAACCCAGGCTGAGAGGTATATTTATGTAGAAGAAAAGGAGGGCACCAGATCAGGAGTAAAATCAGTGAACAGAGAGAAGCAGAAAAACTTACATCTGGGATTCCTCTAGTCGGCATGTGAAGTGGAAGGACCAGCAGAGGAGCGGGATGATGGTGCAATCAGGTGGATGAATCGGTGACAGCCGTGGGACCATGCAGGGAGCCACTTGTAACTCAGCGATGTAGGTTCAAAATTCCTGCCTGGCAGGGAAGACAACAGGTGCCATGACAGGTAGAAGCAGAGGAAAGGAGGCGACAGGTGAGGATCAGCTTTCCTCTGCTTCTACCTGTCACGGCACCTGTCGTCTTCCCTCCCAGGCATTAATTTTTAACCTACATCGTCGAGTCAAAATATTCAAACCTTTTCACTTGGCAAAATACAGTACTAGTCTAACCTTTCTACATAGAAAATCTGCAGTACTGGATTCTCACCAGCCTCAGATAATGGAGATCATGCTTCTGAGAAGCCAGGTAAGGTGTAGGTACACTATATTGCCAAAAATATTGGGATGCCTGCCTTTACATGCACATAAACTTTAATGGCATCCCAGTCTTAGTCAGTAGGGTTCAATATTGAGTTGGCCCACCCTTTGCAACTATAACTGCTTCAACTCTTCTGGGAAGGCTGTCCACAAGGTTTAGGAGTGTGTCTATGGGAATGTTTGACCATTCTTCTAGGAGCACATTTGTGAGCTCAGGCACTGATGTCGGACGAGAAGGCCTGGCCCGCAGTCTCTGCTCTAATTCAGTCCAAAGGTGTTCTATCAGGTTGAAGTCAGGACTCTGTGCAGGCCAGTCAAGTTCCTCCACCCCAAACTCACTCATCCATGTCTTTATGGACCTTGCTTTGTGCACTGGTGTGCAGTCTGTTGGAACAGGAAGAAGCCATCCACAAACTGTTCCCACAAATTTGGGAACATGAAATTGTCCAAAATGTCTTGATATACTAACACCTTAAGAGTTCCCTTCGCTTGAACTAAGGGGCCAAGCCCAACCCCAACCCCTGAAAACCAACCCACACCATAATCCCCCCTCCACCAAACTTTACACTTGGCACAATGCAGTCAGGCAAGTACCATTCTCCTGGAAGCCGCCAAACCCCGACACATCCATCGGATTGCCAGACAGAAAAGCGTGATTTGTCATTTCAGAGAACACGTCTCCACTGCTCTAGAGTCCAGTGGCAGCGTGCTTTACACCACTGCATCCAATGCTTTGCATTGCACCTGGTGATGTAAGGCTTGGATGCAGCTGCTCGGCCATGGAAATCCATTCCATGAAGCTCTCTACGCACTGTTGTTGTGCTAATTTGAAGACTACGTGAAGTTTGGAGGTCTTTAGCTATTGACTCTGCAGACAGTTGGTGACTTCTGTGCACTGTGTGCTTCAGCATGCGCTAACCCCGCTCTGTCATTTTATGTGGAGTACCACTTCGTGGCTGAGTTGCTGTTGTTCCCAGTTGCTTCCACTTTGTTATTATACCACTAACAGTTGACAGTGGAATATTTAGTAGCAAAGAAATTTCATGAATGGACTTATTGCACAGGTGGCAACTAGAGATGAGCGAATTATTCAAAAATTCGATTTGGCTGATTCGCCGAATTTGCGGGAGAAATTCGATTCGATGCGAATTTATTCGCCGCGAATTTAACTTATTAAAAGGGTTTCTAGGCTTCAGAGAGCCTTTATATTAGTGCAGAACACTGTACCTTTAATTTAAATGCCCTTGGAGTCTGCTGGGGAAGAGAAATAATACTGTCAGTCAGTATGACATGCAGATGAGTGCCGTCGATCTTAGAATCACCGCACACTTCACTCATTTGGGCAGTCACGGGGCACGACGAAGAAGAAGAAGAAGAATGAAAAGAAGAAGAAGAAGAATGAAAAGAAGAAGAAGAAGAATGAAAAGAAGAAGAATGAAAAGAAGAATGAGAAGAATGAAAAGAAGAATGAAAAGAAGAAGAAGAATGAGAAGAAGAATGAGAAGAAGAATGAAAAGAAGAATGAAAAGAAGAAGAAGAAGAAGAAAAAAGAAGAAGAAGAAGAATGAAAAGAACAATGAAGAGAAGAAGAATGAAAAGAAGAAGAAGAAGAATGAAAAGAATGAAAAGAAGAAGAAGAATGAAAAGAAGAAGAAGAAGAATGAAAAGAATGAAAAGAAGAAGAAGAATGAAAAGAAGAATGAAAAGAAGAAGAAGAAGAATGAAAAGAAGAAGAAGAAGAATGAAAAGAAGAATGAAAAGAAGAAGAAGAAGAATGAAAAGAAGAAGAAGAAGAAGAATGAAAAGAAGAAGAAGAATGAAAAGAAGAATGAAAAGAAGAAGAAGAAGAATGAAAAGAAGAAGAAGAATGAAAAGAAGAATGAGAAGAAGAATGAAAAGAAGAATGAAAAGAAGAATGAGAAGAATGAAAAGAAGAATGAAAAGAATGAAAAGAAGAATGAAAAGAAGAAGAAGAAGAATGAAAAGAAGAAGAAGAATGAAAAGAAGAATGAAAAGAAGAATGAAAAGAAGAAGAAGAAGAATGAAAAGAAATGAAAAGAAGAAGAAGAAGAATGAAAAGAAGAAGAAGAAGAATGAAAAGAAGAATGAAAAGAAGAAGAAGAAGAATGAAAAGAAGAATGAAAAGAAGAATGAAGAATGAAAAGAAGAATGAAAAGAAGAAGAAGAATGAAAAGAAGAAGAATGAAAAGAAGAAGAATTCCAGTACAGCAAAAAGTGTATCTGCAGAGAGCTCCGCTATTTCTGACAGTTCTCTGACAGTTCCTTCACATTTACATCGGTTGAAACATTGTATCTATTTATTTCCGAATAAAAACATCTGTATCCTAAATGGAAACAAATAGATACAATGTTTCAACCGCTGTAAATGAACTGTCAGAACTGTCAGAGAACTGTCAGAAATAGCGGAGCTCTCTGCAGTGACACTTTTGCCGGCTGATCGGGGAAAATTCGATTCGTGCATCCGAAGTTTGCTAAAATTCGGATTTGATGCGAATCGAATTTTTCCTAATATTCGAAACGAATTCCACTTCGCCAAGTTCGATTCGCTCATCTCTAGTGGCAACCTATCACAGTACCACGCTTGAGTTCACTGAGCTCCTGAGAGCGACCCATTCTTTCACAAATGTTTGTAGAAGCAGTCTGCATGCCTAGGTGCTTGATTTTATACACCTGTGGCCATGGAGGTGATTGGAACACCTGAATCCAATGATTTGGAGGGGTATTAATATTTTTGGCAATATAGTGTATATGTTAAAGCCATAACTCTCAAGACATGCTGGAAAAAGGCAGTCATGGGGTTGATTTACTAAAACTGGAGAGTGCAAAATCTCTGGTGCAGCTGTGCATGGTAGCCAATGAGCTTCTAACTTCAGCTTGTTCAATTAGGCTTTGATAAAAAAAACTTCAGACTTTTAAAATGCAGACACTTATCTGTCCCTCAGTACAGCGGTGTCCTCACCACCACTGGTTTCACTCTCTCCCTGGCGCCGGCATTCTCAGTGTGAGCACCCAGCAGCTTGCGGCTTCACAATCAGGTGCCCACTGCGCATGCACGAGAAGTGCTGCGCTTTGTGAATGGCCCCATAGTCTTCTAGTCCCAGAAGACTACGGGGAGGGAAGGGGGGAGGACAACTTCCGCTTCCGATCGCCTAGGCAATTGCAGCGGAAGTGGGAGAGGGTACCTGTCAAATTCGGGTACCCGCTCCCCCCCCATTCCCCAAAGGTGCCAATCCTTAATGCTGAGCTGGAGACAAAGGCTTAAAGCGGAACTTCTACTTTTTGGTGGAGCTCTGCTTTAATAGAAAATTGTGATATTCAAATCCTGAAAGACTTTATTTATAGACTTTAACAATGTCAAGAGATGTATAGATTGCTTCATGACAATGAAGAGTTAAAGAGCAATGTAGGCACAGTGCAACCACTACTTTAATGGCTTTTCACATGGCTTCTCAATGACAGAAGGGAAAGAGGGAGACAGTGCGAGGAGAAACATTAGCACAACTGTGAGAGGGAACAAACTACTCTTTGAAGGGATATGAGCAGGATAGGCAGGGCAAGGACCAGTGTGGTGGAGCACAGAAGAAGGATGAGGGTGCTTGGAGGTGAAGTTAACAACATAATTACGTGACCTCTAGACCCTTCATGAATACAGAGAAGTAGGGGGGCAGGTCAGTAATAAGTCATTGTAATACAAACTGGGAAATAAGCAAGGTTCCCAAATCATTAGATTAGGAGCAATAAAATGAATTGGTGTAGTGGCATGGTCAAGTAGATTACCTCAGAATTTGTATAAAAATGAAGTTCTTGGCAATTATGCTTCACTTCCTGCATGCATTTAAATGGCTGATTAGTTTTGACTTTGGCTAGTCTATGACCAACATATTGATTGCTAAAGATCTGCAGACCAGGACCCCTATATTCTCACCCATGAGAAAAAAAGACTTACTTTTTTCTTTTTTAAACCTAATCATTCTTTTATTGTCGAAAAAAACATTATTACCTTCCTTCCTGAGCATCT